TCCACCTGTTACAAGTATAATTACACTCAGTTCATTATTTGATTTTAATTACTTATAAGTAATTATTAGTTGAGTAAATGAATGAATTCCACAGAATAAAAGATCCATAATTATGTTTTGTGAAAATAACGTTATTCAAATTTAAAAATTCAAAGTATGAATACTGATATTAGATTTTAAGTCACTTGAAAAGTGAGGACCTTTTTTTAAAGTAACTCTAATGTTATTCAAAGTAAATAAATGGTACCAAATAATGAATTGGATCCTGATATATACTGCAAAAGCGTGCTGCTATGTTGAAACAACAAATCAATTATCAACAGAATTGTAAATTTCAAACATGTTTATTGACAAAACAGTGTATTGACTTTAAAGTTACAAACATTGGTTCTTCATTTGTGAATTTGAATTCTAAAACTATGCGGTTTCTCCATTTCAAAACTTAGTTCACTTTTCTTTCTTGAGATAAGTTCATTGATTTCATCAGAATGTTTCTGAAGATTTTGCCATTCCAGTGGTACGAGAGCAACTCCTTTATCTGTTGCGACGTTATTTTCAGTGAACTTGCGAATATGGACACGAAAACAAAAGTGGAACGGTTTCCAATGGGCATCATTTCTGTAATAAGCTGTCTACTGTCCTTTTTTGGTTCTTCTAATGCTTGCTTTAATACTTGTTCTTCCTCAAAATCAGCTAGTTGTTTGTTAATTTCTCCAGCTTTATTCATAAGTTGGTACCATTCTTTGGTTGTGAGAGCGATTCCAACTGTTGAATTCACTGACGGAAGCGAAGACATCACCAAAACCAAGGGAGATTTTGTCCATGTTTGATATTCAAAAAATAAGAATGATACTACAGAGGTCTTGATAGCAATGATAGTAAAGCTTAGTTTGAGAGTGATATTTATCTAGAGCTCTTTTGTTTAGAACAATAGGTTACGTCATTAGTGCGAATAAATTAACTACCTCCTCAAAAAAATACTGAATATATCTATTTTCTCCTCCCCTTTTTATTCCCTCCTCCAAATAATTTTGATTTGTTGCTGTGGACTTTACTACTTAGGTAATAGAATAAGTCATCTGTCATCAATCAATTTGTTGTCTTTGCTACAAAATAGCTAGTAAAACTTACTCACTCAGTTCAGAGGTCCTCAGATAGAAATGAAACTGATAAATGCTTTTAATACCCGACATAAATCCATGTATCAATTTATTTCCTTAGTATTTTTGTTTTCAAGTTTGCGGTATACATCGAGTTACATGTATTTCACCGTTTCAAAATCAAACAGAAATATAATGTAGATCAAGATATATTTTTGTCATTGTTCTCTTTAAACTTGTAAGGACTTTTTAATGTATGTATTCTGATATATTYTTTATACCTTTCAGGGATGAACCTAT